CGTTATCCCGTGCGAGTAGAATTTTCACTATTCCCTCGTGCCCATTCCGAGAAGCACGGTGGAGTGGTGTCCGGGCTTTGTTATCTGGCTTATCGGGGCTGACATCATCCCGTGCGAGTAGTATTTTCACAATTCCATCGTGTCCATCCAATGCAGCAAAATGGAGTGGTGTCAAGCCGCGGAATTCTGGCCTGTCGGGGTCGACATCATCCCGTGAGAGTAGTCTTTTCACAATTCCCTCGTGCCCACCACGGGCAGCACAATGGAGTGCACTCGCGCCGAGATTAAATAGTTTGCCGGCGTGGACGTCATCCCGTGCGAGTAGTATTTTCACTATTTCCTCGTGCCCACCCCGGGCAGCAAAATGGAGTGGTGTCCAGCCGTACTTGCTCGGCTTGTCGGGGTCGACGTCATCCCGTGCGAGTGGTCTCCAGCCGCCATTGTCTGGCTTGTCGGGTTCCGTGTCATCCCGTGCGAGCAGTATTTTTACCACTTCCTCGTACCCGCCCCTCGCAGCCCACATGAGTGGTGTATTGCCCGTGCAGTCTTTTTGGTTGATATTGCAACCTTCCACCTCCACTAAATCAGCTACAATCTCAACGATCCCGAACATGGATGCACAGTGCAGACCACTGAATATAAGAGGTTTAGTGAAGTCAACACCGTAAGAGTGTGGTTTCTGCGATTGTAGGAGGATTTTAGGGGATATGTGGTTATCGTAATCATTGAACAACTTCATCGCAAGCGATTTCCCGCGGTCTGAGAAGCCCCTTTTTGCGTAGACTCCCCAAAATAAAGAAGAATATTCGAGGAAGGGAGTGCCTTCTAGACTTGGAGAGGGAGTGACAGAGAGAGTCTTGATCTGGCGGGAATTCAAATAGCTTAGGCAGGTTTCGGCCATTGTTGAGTAAGCTGTGTCGAAGAGCTCGGGACGAGCCCGGAGGTATTCGTGAAGGGTAAGGTGGATTAAGCGGACGGTGGAAACCTCCTTGTCTACGGCAACTAATCCTTGACAACAGGCTAGCAATGTCCCAATCGAAGGAACATTGTCGAGGTTGAGATTCGGCGACCCAATTTCCACTGCTAGGGCGTTGCACAGTTCTTCCGGCTTCAGGGGTCGTTCCGAGTGAGAGATCCACATCAAGGCGGCAATGCCAAGCTTCGCTTTCTCCCCACCCTGCGCCTTTATCCGACCAAGTGCTGCACCATAAGCATCCCCCAATCCCGACCCATCTGTCATGGCGCTCAGTTTTTGTCGCCTGCGATGGATTGTGGTTTCTTGTAGGATGGCATTGATGTTCAGTGAGACGAGTAGGAATCTAAATATGAATCCGTTAGTGGATGACTTGTGATAGATTCCCCAGTGTTGTTTCTTGTACGTACATTTCAGAAATGTCTTGAGGGATTTTTGTCAGGATGTCTGCCTCCAGACTGCTGTCCATTGCGTCTGGGTTCGTGTCCTTGCTTAGCCTGGTATGAAGATATCTAATTATATCATCTCTCTTGGGGCTTATGGATACACTGGTTACTCTCCCAGCAAGCCAGCTTCCGGTTTCAGGTTGGACTTGCGGTCTTCCGGTGGCGAATATCCGAGTACCCGGAGTTTCTTGGAGGATCTGATGGAGCGAATCGAGAATCTTGTCTCGATTTTCAGCCGCACATTCATCGAGGGCGTCGATGCAAATGAATGTCCGCTTTTTGGAGCACGTGGTTTGAATCATCTTCACAATATCAGAAAGTTGCGGCCCCCGTCCACTGATGGCACTTTCTTGGGCTTGGTATGCTTGCGATATCTCCTCCGGGATCTCCTCGAGCGCGAAAACCAGTTGCTTCAATAGGGCGCCTAGCACGCTTGCGGGGGACTGCTCATTTTGGGCGGCGAAGTCGAAATAAAAACATGCGACGGCGGTATTTTGCTCTTCAGCGCGATCGCACAATCTGTCTATCACCGATGAGCTAACATCGCGGCTTGTTAGTATTTGTAGATTTCCCTCCATTTATTGGGGTTTGTCCTTTGTTACCTGATGTAGGATTTTCCAACTCCCGGATCTCCATCGCAAAACAAAACTTGCTTATCGGGTTCACTTTCCCCACTACTGCCGTACCAGTTTCTGAATCCCTCGGCTTGTAAGAGCCATTCCCCTACGTTTTCGACTCGGCGGTTTTGGATGTCCTGGTGCCGTAACTTGGGGTCTAGTGGGGATAGCCAGGATAGGATTTTAGTTCGTTCGTCGGCTGTGGTAAAGTTATTGGACACGTTAAAAGAGTTGTCATTGTTGCTGGAAGATTGAGACATTTTCAGTGCTTTTATGCTTGGGATATTGTAGATGATGGATGGGTGGTAAAGGCAGTATATTGTTGAAATTCTCCGGGAGCTGAAGAAAAGCGGGGTTTCTGTGGGAAGTCGGCATACCTTTGAACCGTCCAATGATCATCCTCCTATTTTGTGAGGATATCGCTCTGCCCGCGCATACCACATTGGTAGCGAGAAATGCCACGACATTTTATCACAGGCGCTCGCCTGCCGGCAACACGAATCATGTGCTGCAATGGGCAAACACAGGAGGAGACCTCTACTGGAATCCGCTGTTGAAACCCACTTTGTCTGGATCTGGTGTTTCGGCGCCCTCGCCATCATTTGTTTGTGTTTGGAAAACCTTCATGTATT